AAATCAAGGGGACTTCAGAGAGTTTTGATGCAATGATATGTCACTAAATTGGTGGAAATGGTACAAATGGCAGTTGGGCAGCGATGGTGGTGCCCTGTTGAAGTAGAACATTATCCCAAATGAATTTTTTCTAATAAACTTTCCCCACCTTTGACCCTTGATGAGGTCAAAGGTCATCTAGGAGATAATGGTGGTGTTGAAACTCTAAAACTCATGGGATAGATCAACTATGGACCACAAGACTCCAATGCTTCCCCATTACCTTGAATTTATTTGCATATATAAAAAATACATATATATATACATATATACACACACATATATATGAGTATATATATATACACACACAAATATGTATGAGTATATATACATATGCATATGTATATTTTATGTGTGTGTATATATATATACACACACATACCTATACATATGCATATGTACGTATATGTTGTCTGATAAGAATACAAGCACCTTGAAAACAGGGGCTATTTCATTGTTTTGTCTTTGTATTCCCAGCACTTGGCATAGAGCGTAACACATAGTATATCTTTAACAAATACTTGTTAATTAATTCATTGAAGGTATGAAGGTGACCTAGGTTCTTGAAGGCTGACCAGTAGAGGATAAAATGTCAGATCTTACCATGCTCAGTGATAAATTAATAATCAAAAGATGGAGATCTAAGAAATCAACTAGCTAAGTATGGCAAGTCAAATCACTAGAAGGTTGGCCACCAGGTGATGAATTTGTTTGAGCACAGCAAATCAAGAAATTATATACTAAGTCAGGGAGGGGTTATGATTGGCACCAGTGAAATAAGTAACCACATTGATAAATAGTAAAGCAAACTTCTATATTCAATGGTAACTATTGCAAATTTGACATTCCCCCAAATCTAATTGACTATTATAAAGGTAGCATGCTATAGATTCTGTTATACATTACTAATTATAGCAAATAGTCAGTCAACAAAAATTTATTAAGTTCTTACTATGTGCCAGGCATTGTGCTAAGTACTAAGAATAAAAAACAAATAGAAGCTTCCATTCTAATAAGGAAGACAACCCCTAAAAGGAAGCTGAAAGAAGTTGAAAAGAAGGGAAGGGGAGGTATTTGGGGAGGAAGCATGGGAGAGGAAGTTGGGAGGGCAGCTTGGAGAGCAATGAGACAAGGGCTGGCCCGGGTGCCTCCTTAAATGGAGGCTCTAGGAGGAGTCATCCAATCAAAGGGAGAAGCCATGGGGCAGAGGGTATTTCTACTTTACCTGTAAAAATCAAACAAAATAGTAAATGCCAACCAGTTACATTTTCTTCCCATAGGCTGTGAATGGTGAAAAAGGGGATAAAGGTTTTCCAGGAAATCCTGGTGACCCTGGGCACCCAGGACCCATGGGGCCAACTGGAGCATCCAACTATGGACCACCAGGAAAAGCTGGACCAAAGGGAGCTACAGGAGTGCCTGGATTTCCTGGATCACCTGGAAATGACGGTTGGTTAATTTTATGTCCAGTCCAAATTATTTCCATGTATTGTGGATTTTTAACTCTACCAAGCTCAGTAACAATAATAATAGCTAGCATTGTATAAAGCTTTAAAGTTTGCAAAACACTTTACATTTGCTATCTTGTTTGATCCTCACAACCCTATGATTATTATCCCCATTTGATAGATGAGGAAACTGAGGCTGAGAGAGGTTAAGTGACTTGCCCAGGGTCACACGACAAATAAGTGTCTGAAGCAGGGTTTGCATTCAGGTCTTCCTGACTTTAGGTCCTGATATTCCCTCCGTTGAGCCACACTTAATAATTCCTAATTAATACCAGGCATGGAATTTGCAGAATTTCAGACAGCTAACTCTGGGTTATGCTGGAAAAAGTAATTTATCTTTTGCTACCAAACAATTTAAACATAGTTAAAATATATCAGGACACTGAATAACTATTACTAATCTAATCACAACGGATTTTAGATTAGAACCTCAGTGAGTAGGAAGTTAAGTTGGCCACACCTAAAGAAGGAACAAAGGGAGCTGATTCTTGCCCCAGTCTCTGCTCCTCATCTCACTTCTGTACTGGAGATTCATGGAGACCTCACTGCAAATGTTCTTTCTGGAGAGTTAATTAACTTAAAGGAACACTCAATTAGCTTACAAGTCAATCTAAATCTATCTAAAATAACTAACATTTGGCAATAATGTAAGTGCAGTTAGCCTTTAGGATCCGTGATTAACCAGCAATGTAGCTAAGGTTTGGAAAGGATGGGTTACCTTAAATGCATTTATAGTCAGGTGAGCTAATGGTGAAAGTGCCCAATCAAGCTTTAGGAACTGGGGACAGGAGCAGCTAGGTTGTACAGCTCTGGAGTCAGGAGGACCTGAGTTCAAATCCAGCCTCAGACACTTAACACTTACTAGCTGTGTGACCCTGGGCAAGTCATTTAACCCCAATTGCCTCACAAAAAAAAAAAGGAATTGGGAACAATTTCCTCCCTTTTATTTTAGCAGCTAAACAATCAAACAAACAAATAAACAAAGAAAGAAAGAAAAGAAGTGAAGGAAGAAAGAAGGGAGGGAGGGAAGAAACTTTGCCCATATCAAGAAAGTTATAGGGTCAGCTAGATGGCGCAGTGAATAGAGCACCAAGCCTGGATTCAGGAGGACCTGAGTTCAAATCTGGCCTCAGACGCATAACACTTACTAGCTGTGTGACCCTATGCAAGTCACTTAACCCCATTGCCTAGCCAAAAAAAAATAAGAAAGAAAGAAAGTTATAGCTTTCAGGAATAAAGACACAAGCTAGTCCTGGCTTATGTACCAGATCAGGCTACATCTGGAATATTGTTTTCAGTTGGGAAGTGAGGAGGGCATTGTTAAGGAAGGACATTGATGAGCTGAGTCAAGAGGCAAACAGTCAGGATGGCAGGGCCTTGAGCTGTTGCTATATAAGCCTCAGTTGAAGGAAATGGCCATGTTTTGCTCAGAGAAGAGAAGATTTAGGGGTGGTAGGGCATGATATTCAAAGGGTTAACACCTAGAAGAGAAATTAGATGTTCTGTTTAGTTCCAGAGAGTAGGACCATAATAATAATAGCTAGCATTTACAGATCACTTTAAGATTTGCAAAGCACCTTACAGGTCAGCAACCTTGTGAGGGAGGTCCTATTATTATCCCCATATTACAGATGAGGAAACTTAGGCATACAGTGGTTAGGTAATTTGCCTAGGGTTGCATAATTAATGTCTGAGGCAGTATTGGAATTCAAATCTTATCTTCCTAACCCCAAGTATAGCACTCTAATGCATTGTGCCACCAACCTGAAATTGCAAAACTAGAAATTGCAGAAGGGCAAATTTGGGTTTGTGGAAGAAAAATCACCCCAACAACTAAAATGAGTTGTCTCCAGAGGTGGTGGGTTTCTCCTCTTTCCCTTTCAAGCAGAGGCTGGATCACTCTTGTTGGAAATGTGGTAGATGCTATTCTTGTTCTTATACAGCTTGGCCACTGAGGTCTTTTTAGATAATAATGCCATAGGCATTTTTTTTTTACCTTTTTCTTGAGATAAAGGAATACAAATGGGAGACCAGTATTTTATTCTACTATAGAAAATTCTATTTCTAAATGTAAATCATTTATAGAATATTCCATTTTCCTAAAATATTTCATAATCTAGGTTTTTTTCCCCTTACATCACATTTTTAACCTGGCTCTTACTTTTGACATATGAAGTAGTTTCAGTACCTAGCTAACCTAATTAGCTATTAGCTAATTATGTGCTAAGAATATGGTAGGTGTTTCATTCAGCAAAGTAGCTACTATGTACAAGGAATGGTACCTAATGTGTTTATGACATTGAAAGAAATGTAATTGAATAATTCTCTATGAACATTCTGCCCCTTAACAAAAAAAAAGTCTTTCATTAAAGACTAAAGCTAATTCTACATTCCTCATTTTCAAAATATATATTTCATAAGACCTGCAAATTCCATATTTAGTGACAATCAGAAGCCTATTTCCTAAGGCCCATTAGCCTAAATTAACTTTAAGACATATGAGAAACAGAAATTGTTTACTTTCTCTCTTTATGCATTTCTGAATTGCTTATAATGATATTTTTCCTAATTACCAAGGAAATATACAACACACACCAATTTTACTACCATACCTTTTATTTAAGGTCCTAAAGGAGAACCAGGCATAGCAGAGCCAGTACCTGGCCCTCCAGGACCTCCCGGGTTACCAGGGCTACCTGGCCTCCAAGGCACAACTGGTAAGTGATTCCAAGTGAAATATAAAGTATTAGAGTGCATTCTGAGTTCCCCGACAAGGAAAGCTTAGTAATAAAACCTAGTTAAGTCCAATTTATGAAACATCATTATCCAGTTTAAAAAGAGGATATGGGAAGAGAAGGGATTTGTTGTCTGTCCTCTGAAATGACTGCAACTATCCTTCCCAATAATATTTATGACTGCTGAGCTCATTCTGTTCCAGTAACCACAATGAATGCTCTAACATAGTTAAGATCACTTCAGAGGTTCCCAAGGAGAGAACAATCTCTAGAGATTATCAGGGAATTACAAGTTTAAAAAAATTTATAACTTCCTTGGGCCTCAATTTCTTCATTAGTAAACTAGGAACCTTCTTTAGGATTATATTCTAAACCTTAATTATCTTTTTCCCCTAAGATGGAGATTCTATATAGGTTCAATAAAGCATGCACACATACATATACACACATCAAATGCTGCTTTTAAAAGTTTATATACATATGTACATACACATATATATATAGATACATAATATACAAGGTATATGAAAGGTATATCTAAATATACATGTGAATGTATATATACCCTTAAAATCATATATTTATAGATTTAAGAATATGTCTATTTGTGTGCAGGGTTTTCCAAAAGTTCTAGTGTAGTTTTAAGCTCCAATAGCTTAGTAAAATTAAACTTTAATAAAAAGCTTCAATAGCTTAAAACTTCACTAAGACTTTTGTAATACCCTGCAAATCTATTTCTTTAAACCAGAATTTTGAGCCTTCATAGAATCTCTTAGGAAGAAATAGAGATAGAGATGGAGAGATACATATATATGAGAGAAATTACATATATAAATTATATTTAAATATTATACTTATTTGTGTTATAAAATTATAGTTATATATCATATGGAAATTTATATACAAATTATTTCTATTATATGTTATATGATATTGTTATATATTATATGTTAATTAGCTATAATTATGTTTCTATTATATAAATATAAATTTTATTATATACATATAATTTCTTTCTTATATATATTTTTTCTCTCAATCTCTATCTCTATTTCTTTCTAAGATAGAGATTCCATGAAGGTTCACTTTTGAAACACCCTGTATATACATACACACATACAGTCTTGAATGAGAAAAACAGAGAGGAGAGAGAGGGACAGAGAGAGAGATAATATTTATAAACTTTGTAGATTTTAATGGTAAGTCCTTTGGCAAAAATAGGAGAAGGACTGGTTATTGTATTAGTTTAATTTTATAACAAAAACACAGTCATCATTCAAATACAGTTAATAAACATTAATAAGGATCTATTATTAGGTACCTGGCACTGGGGATATAAGTACATATAATAAAACAGTCCCTACTCTCAAGTAGCTTACATTCCAACAGAAAAGGCGATGAGTATATATACTCATACACATAAATATATGTGTATATGGAGAGTAAGGAGAAAACATAAATACATGCAAAGTTTATATATATACATATATGTATATGTGTGTATACGCATACACACATACAGCAATTAGGGAGGGCACTAAAAGTGGGGTGGGAAAGAGAAGGATTCAATGCGGTAAGGTAAGAATGGAGTGTATCCCAGGCATAGGGGATGACCAGCACAAAATGCCGAGACAGCATGTAGAATGGCATGTGTGAGGAACATTAAAAGTCTTTGAAGAGGGAGCAGCTAAGTGTCGCAGTGGATAGAGCACTGGCCCTGGAGGCAGGAGGACTTGAGTTCAAATCTGGCCTCAGACCAACTGCTTGACACTTACTAGCTGTGTGACCCCAGGCAAGTCACTTAACCCCAATTGCCTCACAGAAAAAAAATTTTTTTTTAAATAAAGAGTCTTTGAAGAGTGTAGGAGGGAGTATAATCTACAATGGCACAGGAGAGATATCTTGGGCCAGCTGGTGAAGGACTTTAAAAGCTAAACATCTGAGTTTATAATTTTATCCTAGAGGGACTAGGGAGTCACAGGAGGTGACTGAGTAGTGGAGTAACATGGTCAGAACTATACTTAAGGAAGATCACTTTGGTTGCTATGTGGAGAACGTTCTGGAGTGGAGACCAGCTGGAGGCAAGGAGACCAGTTAGGAGGCTGTTGGAATACTCTAGGTGAGAGGTGATGAGGACCTGAACCAAGGTGAAACAGAAATGTGAGTAGAAAGAAGGGGTCAGATGGGAAAGATTCTATAAAATGGCAAAATGTGGCAGCTGATAGAGTTGTGGGTGAGAGAGAACACAGAACCCAAGATGGCACTGAATTATCACCTGAGAATCTGGTGGTACATTTGACAGAAATAAGAAAGTTTAGAAGCTGCTGAATCAAGGCTGACTTTTTTTTGGTCTTCTTCTAGGAAAACCAGGGTCCATGGGACCAAGTGGTAACCCAGGTCCTCCTGGGTCTGATGGTGAAGCAGGATTCCCAGGAATTGGAGTTCCTGGACCTGCTGGACATAAGGGTAAATGCTAAATTTCAGTAAAAAATTTATTATTTTCCCCTAATAAAATAACTAACAGTATTAGTTGATTTTTGAAGCCTACATAGGATGACTGGCAACAGACAAAAACCTATTGATTAGGCCTACCATGTGAGTCCTTATACTATTTCAAGTCCACAGCAAGCTCTACAGTGACCCATTTCATAGAATATGGCATTAAATACATTTAATTGTTCTGCAGAGAAAGAAACATGAACTAGATAAACTTTCAGCTTCATTATCCTTTCTTAGCCTTATCTAGCCTAGATTATCCCATACTATCCTCACAGATTCCCCTTTGTATAGGTTTTTAAATGCTTAAGGATCTAAATGAAAGTCACAAAAATCACAAAAAATTGAGTACTATATGCATTATTTTAATATATAAAAAAGTAAATCACTACCACTTACCCAGTTGTCTGGGACATAGAGAAGTTATTTAGTTTAAGAAGATTTTTCTTTTTTTCAGTTCACCAGCAAAAACTCCCAAAGAAATGCAAGTGATGAATATCATGCTTTCAATAAGCAGCTATAGGGTCCATTCCAACAAATCAGGGGAACTTCCAAGTCACACTGTTCTAAAATAACATCTAAGAAGTCTCAGCTCCAATGCTGCCAGATGTACTCCAAATAGGTTAATGTTAATAGAATCTGAGAGTCTTTCCTATGTGACTTGACTTGTTCTTATGGTTTCATATTATAAATATTGGTCATAAATGAACACTTTCCAAATGTGAGAATTCCCATCCTAGTGTACTAAAGCCTTGAAGTTGAAGATAAGTCTGACATTCAGTTCACTCCCACCTTCAGTATGACTCCAGTAAATTGCCATGACTTGGGCTCTTATGACTCTTCCTGGTGATTTCTAAACTAAAAGCCTGCCCCAGTTTTCTGTCCATGTCTTTTTCATCAGTGTTCTAATAAATGGACTCTTAGGTTGTAAGCTTATCTGCTTGCCCAGTTAGTTATCCTAGAGATTTGCTCTCTGGAATGAGACTTTGGAGCAACTTAAAATTCCTACTATCATTAGTGTTCTGGCCTTTTGCTGTGGTCACATGCTGGTCTTCTGATGAATTAAAGCTACCTTAGGCCTCTCACCCAAAAAAGGGGTGGGAATGTAGAAGGTGTGTCAGCTTTTTTTAGTGCATAGCTCCAGGGCTTTTTCAGTTCTCTTGTGAATCAGATCCACAACCATACCCTGCCAGCCCCAGAAGCCTTTATGCTTAGCTTGTCTACCTTTAGAGCTCCATGGCTTCTGCCTGAGCTGCAACTCCCAGAGTCCAGTCTACTATTTAAGTGGAGGTAAATAAATTTCTTTCCATTCCTATCACACCACTGATCACTAGCTTGAATCCATGCAAGTGCTTCGATTAGCAAGACTACAAGAGTAAATGAAATACAAACTTTGGTCCTGTCTTTCTTTAGACACCAAATCACTGTTTTCTCTACATAAAGATTACAAACTATTCTATGACAATTGTAGAAGATTGTAAGATCACAGCAAGACTCAAAGACTCATCATTGAGCCCACTTCTCTCCATAAATCTGAACTAAATATGAACCCTAAATTGGCTGAAGCTGAATCAGCTTTGAACCCAAAGCCTAAGTTTGGAAAACTGTTGCATCAAAATAGTAATTCTACTTTAAAAAAATAAAATAAATAATAAATATATAAATAAATAATAAATAAAAATCTTTTAAAATAAAAATACAGAATATTATTTCCCAAGGGAAACCAGTTTAAGCTAGTCCAAGAAAAAAAAAGAAAAGAAAAGAAAAAAAGAAAAATAAATAAATTAAACTTACTGATTTAGTTCTTAAGTTTTCCAGCCACCAAAACTGTTGAAGTAAAAATAAAGTGTCTCTTAACAAAATTATTCTTGTGATTTTTTTCTGCTTGTTTTACAGGAGACAGAGGTTTTTCAGGAGCCAAAGGATCACCAGGTTGTCCAGGAGAAATGGGGAAACCTGGGTCACCTGGAATATCAGGGATCCCAGGAGCAAAGGTCTGAGAAAATCACAAATTTGGTTTAATCAGGATGCAGGTTAGGATTGTTGTGCCCAGTTGTATATCACTAGGTTCAAATCTTTTAGAAAAGAGAGGCAGAAATTGTTGGCATTTTTGCTTATTATTCTCAGCAGGTTATTTCTTAAGCATTAAAAATTCATCTTTTTTGCAAAACACACCATTGAGCAAGTATTTGAATGATATGTTGTTTATTTTCAGTCATTTCAGTTGGATCTGACTCTTCATGACCCTATTTGGGGGATTTTCTTGGCAATGATACTGGAGTGTTTGCCATTTCCTTTTCCAGCTCATTTTACAGATGAGGAAACTGAGGTTAAATGACTTGCCCAGAGTCACACAGTTATTAAGTGTCTGAAACTGGATTTGAACTCAGGAAGATGAGTCTTCCTGACTCCAGGCCTGGTTCTCTGTGCATTAAGCCACCTACCTGCCCCTTTGAATGACAAAGTTAAAGTTTAAAAAAGGTTTAAAAAATCTTAAACATTTTTACTTGTAGGAAGAAAAAGAAAACCCAAATCTCATGAGAGCTTCATCTAGTTGCCAGTATCTCCTTACTAATTCCTTTGACTTTTACTAGCTGTGTAATACTGAAAAAAGCCATTTAACATCTCAGAGCCTCAGTTTTCCTATCTATAAAATGGTGATAACTATACTGTTGCTATTTACTGCACATAGTTATTGTGGACTGTGAACCTCTAACCACTGCTGTAAAAACAACTCAGTTCTGTGCTTTGCTGATGACAGATCAGAGGCATCATATCCTCATATGAAGGGCAGGACACATATGCTTTTATATAAAAAATAAGTACATAACTGACACTCTTTCTACTATGCCACACTGACTCCTCAGAGGCTTGTCGTGAAATAGTCAACATGTATTTTTTAAGCACTTACTTTGGGCCAGGCACTGTGATCAGTGTTAAGGACACAATAAAAAGCAAAACAAAAAAAACAAAATAAAATAAAATAAAAGACCCTACCTTCAAGATGATCTCCATAAAGTGCTTTGCAAACTTAAAAGGGCAATATAAATGTTAACTTATTATTACTAATAAAGTCATTGTTGTTTTCTGATGAAAACAGAGCAAACTACATATTTAACAAAACATTTTTCAGGCAGCATAACATTTAATTATACTAACTCCTTGATAAAAGACAGCAAGATACATTGGGGAAAGTACAAACATGAGTATCAAGAAAACAGCATTCTAGTCCTAACTCTTCCTCTAAAGCTGTATCACCTTGGATAAGTCCTTTAACTTCTCTGGGTCTAAAATTCTTTATCCATTGGCAAAATTAGGGGTCTAGATGAGTTGGTCCTAAAAGCCTTTTATGCTCTACACAAAGTATTACATAATAATATAGCTGGTTCAAACAATAATGTGCGTTTAAAAAACAAAAAAGAGCAACTTCCTTTCTTCTCAGGTGCATGACAAAAGAAAGTCCCATAATATTTTCTAGCCAAAAAAAGAGAAGGTCCACAAGTTATGGTCTCTAAATATCTTTCTTATTTTGAAAACAAAAACATACAGTGGTCTTGAGCTCTAGGAGGAGGGTGGGCATGACGGATTTCTAATTTCTAATGACTGGATCCCCATTGTACAGGTGCAGCAAAGCCATAAGAAGTATTTTTCATGCCTGGGCAACCCTCTGGAAACATGACTGAAGCAAAGAAGAGCACCCTTAAATCTACTTTTTAAGACAAGTTTAATTGGAGTTTTGGGGTTACCCCATGACATGGCAAAGCCATTCATCATAAGAGGAGCTCACCCTGGATTAGGAAAAAATTGAACAGGGAGAAACTATACACCATCTCATAATTTACTATTTTATGCTAATTATTCTTACCAATTAATGGTAAACTCAGTTTAGCAATAGGTTTGCTGCTGAGGTTCAAGCACTGTTAGTGCCCTATAAATTTTGTTGCCCTAAGGCAAGATGATGGTCACCCTAAACTAGTTATAGCTCTAATGTAGAGCCTGACATTCACCCTACCTGGTCCTGGCATAAAACCTAAAAACGCCATCGATGCCTGTGATCTATCCTTCTGAATGCAGGAAAACATCTAGATTCTATTTAGGATGTATGGCTTCACATCCTCATTTTGAGCATCTTAACATCCCAATGTGGGTTCAACTCCTTCCTAGTGTGGCTCCTCTGTCTCTTTGCTGCCTAATGAAATGGCTTAGGCACTAAAGCTAAACGTGTGGAGACCTATCTCTACCTCTACCTCTTAAGTTCAATAGCTACAGCTGGAAAAGAAATGGTAAAAATAATGAAGAAATTGAAATGGCAGCTATGGAAGCTAGCTAATGTGAAAGAAAGGCTTGGCGCTAGCCTCCTAGTAGAAATAGTTGTAGATTTAGAAATCAGAAGACCTGAGATCAGCTCCTAGCTCTGTTAGTTATTACCTGTGCAACCTTGGGCAAGTTAACTTCATGGTTGGGCCTCAGTTTCTTCATCTGAAAAATGAGGGAGCATAGCCTTTCTGCTCTATATGATCCTGTCTAGTTTGAAATCCTATGAACTGCTGTGTCTAGTAAGAGTGCTATGGACTAGGAAATAGGAAATCCAGGGGTCTGGTCTCCAGCTGGCTACTGAAGAGTTGTGTGACCTTAGACAAGTCATATTTCTGTTTCATTCTTTAAAAAATAAAGGAGTGGAACTAGATGACCTCTATGTCCCTCTCAATTCTAAGTTGCTTTTAATTTAAGTAAACAAATCTTAAATGTGAGGAACTATGTGGCTAAATGGGATTTAGAATCAGAGGACCTGGGTTCAGATTTAATAATATTTTTCCCAATTACACATAAAGATAATTTTTACAAGCAGTGTGACCTTGCACAAGTTATAGGAGCATAGATTTAGAGTGAGAATGTGAATGTCTGCCCATAGCCCTGTTGTCCTGGTTCCTGAGTGCCCCATATAGCCCACTACATTTAGATAGCCCCAGCCAGGCCTTACCTTACTGCCCAGTGATCTTGTCAGATGCTCTGCAACCCTCTGTTAGGCTCCCTCCCCCAACCCATCCTCCCTTTCTAGTTCTGGAATCATCACTAAATCAATACTAGATAGGGCAAAGGGCACAACCTATTGCCCAATGGCTTTAATCACTATCTCTCTAAATCAAAAGACTCAGACCAGGCCACCACTTCCCTATATGTGTTCTCTCCCCCTAATATGTAAGCTTCTTGAAGTCAGGGGCTGTCCAGTGTTTGGCATCTAGCATGCACATAATAAATGCTTTTTATTCATTCATTCATATCTAGTCCAACTCCCTCATTTTATGGACAAGAAACCTGAGGCTCAGAGTTAAGTGACTAGTTCTAAATCACAAGGGTAGTTATTGGCAGAGCTGGTCCTTGACCCACACCAACACCATACCTTGTTCTTCAATTTCTTGAAGTTTCTCCTAATTAATCTTATTCTCCTTCTTAATCTTATTGATTTTATATGATTTTTCTGTGGTTTAGGGAGACCCAGGTACAGCAATGCCTGGAAAACCAGGAAGCACTGGTTTTCAAGGAGAAAAAGGAAGTTCAGGAGAAGATGGAGAACACGGTCTCCCTGGACTTCCAGGCCTTCCAGGATCCCCGGGAAATGACGGACCTAATGGGCCACCAGGTACTTGGCTTGGTTATTTGCAACCACACCAGGGCTGAGCTAAAATAAAGGAAAATCTTATCTCTTAGGTCCTGGGGAGGAGGGGTGGGAGAAATGAGAAGAAGGGGGCATGTGGGAAAGAAGGTCATGTTAGGAAAATTTTTCTATTCCACCATAGAGAACACATAGGCAGAAGTGGCATGTGCATGTGTGCATGTACACACACACACACACACACACACACACACACACACAAAATGTATTTTGGTCTGGATCTGTTATTTCATCAGATTAGGGAACTCCTTGTATGCAAACTCCTAGTGATTTAGACTGTTAAGTATTCTGTAACTTAGAGTCTTACAGAAATACTTGGGGAACTGAGAGAATGACTTTATCACAATCACAAGCTAGTGTGTGTCAGTTAGGACTTGTAGACACCCAGGCCTTTTTCCTCGGGACTCCAAGGCCAGCCCTGGATCCATAATGCTGGACTAAAGAATGTTTTATTATGCAACATTATGAAAGCTTTTTATTTTTTTTTATTTCACTGCTTCAAAAATATAATGGGCTTAGTAGGGTAGCTCCTGAATCATCCATGCCAAGCACAACTTTCTATGACTTAGGAGACTGACTTTATCTTCATGACCTGATGTAGTCAAAGAATACATTGCCAAGTGGTTACCAGGGGTGGGGGACCTGCAGCAAGGCCGCATGTGGCCCTCTAGGTCCAACGGTGCAACCTTTGATTGAGTCCAGGTTTTACAGAACAAATCTTTTTATTAAGGAGATCTGTTCTGTGAAGTTTGGATTCAGTCAAAGGGCCACACCAGACCTAGAGGGCCACATGTGGCCTGGAGGTTGCCCGTTCCTAACCCTTGAGTTAACCCTTTGGTGATTAAAGCTAATCGTGTTTATCCTCAGAGGGCAGGCTCAATCAACACCCAAAGACTTTACAACTTGGTAGGAAACGCCAGGGCTTGAACTTCATTGACAAAGCTTGATCACCTCCATGACATAATGGGGCATCATAGTAAGACTATGATCCATGACATTCCTCTTTAAAGCAACTTACTATTTCTTAGATACCTTATGAAAGTGACAGTTGAGTGTTTCTTAGATTTTTCATTTATTTCGGAAGAGGGGAAGGCAGGGAGAGATAGGAAATGGACCTGTGATTTCACTGATATAGGAAATTCTCTCTACTAATGCACCTCCTCTGAAAGTTAAGGACTGAGAGAAGTATGTCACCAAGAGATTAAGGGACCAGCCCAGGGTCATAAGAGTAATATACATTATCAAAGGCAAGACTTGAACTCCAGTCTTCCTGGCTCCAAGCCAGCTTTCTATCGACTATACCACCCTGCACCTCATTTCTGACTAGAGTTTTTTGAAGTATCAGTTCTTTCAGGAAATCCCTATATTTAAAGGATTAGTCTAAATCAGATATATAATTTTCTTTCTGATTTTTCTAAAAAGTTACATCCCTAAAAAGTTTTTCCCCGCATGGCCAGGACAAAATGAGTCAAAATTATAGTAATAATAATAATCATGAATGAATTATACCTCTTGTCCAGATTATGACATGCAGTTAGATGGATAATCTATAGCACTCATCTAATATGTACATATACATATTAGTAATAATTATATAGTTAATAAAATATGTGTATATATCTTTATATATATATATAGGTATACATGCATATATGTGTGGATATATATACATAATGGATATATAAATACATAACTTATATATTGGATATACTACAAATGAGCACTGAGTTTATACATATGTGTATATATGTATTGCATACACACATATTTTTTCTTGTACATATATTGCACATAAATAGGCAAGTCTAACCTAGAACTAAAATAGAAGTGCATGCTGGATTACCTCTGGAACAATGTAATTTAGTAACCTCAAGCTTTTCCCTGAAACAAAGGACAGACTACCTTTTACCTTCTATGTTTCAATATTCTACTGGTGATCTTATATAGCTGTGGGTCATGGAATACTTCAGTCTTCAATGAATTAAAAAATATCATTCAGAGAGCAATAGAGAGGTATATTGCCAAATATAAACAGGCTACAACATTTTGAAGAGAACTTCAATAAATATCTGGAATAAAGAGTCATCAAATAAATGTATGACCTAGAAAGACAAGCTGATCACACTGGAAAAGGGAAGGATAACTGATGGACATCCTAGGGGCTCTGTGGGTATCCTCACCCTGTCAAGAGAAAGGGAGAAAGGTCCCCAGCATGTTAAGTGGACAAGAGAATATGAAGAATGTGGACTTGAGTTGCAAAGAATGGCAGTCATAGGTAGGCTGTGAACTACATCCCTGGAGGGAGTATCTGTGTTGATGCAATCATGAATCCTTTGAGTATCAGGAAGAGTGTGCACACCAATGAGATCACAGGTTTACTCAAAGTATCAGCTGCAGATACCCCAGGTGATTATATTTGTCCACTTTTCTTTTCCAGGAGAGCCTGGCTTTCCTGGACTGCCAGGATTTAATGGGATTCCAGGGATCTGCATACCAGGTGCAAGGGGAACCCAGGGACTTCCAGGTTTAAATGGACTAAAAGGACCACAAGGTAGATTTCCTTTTGTGTCAAACACTAAAATGGACAGATGATGTGGGCTAAAATATGAAAGTTAGGTAGATCTCCTTCTGTGTCAAAACCTAAAATAGACAGATGACATGGGCTAAAGTATGAAAGCTATCTTACAGTAACTAAAAATAAACAGATACCATAAATGGGCAGAAATGAAAGTCACCCCCACATAGTGGATCGCTTGAATTTTCTTTTCCTGAGTTTGTCAACTGTGTTTCTGCCTTCACTTGGGCAAGTTACGGAAGCTATTTGGAGCAAGGCTTCCTTTCAGCTGAACAGCCTAGGCCACTAAATACAGATTCCTTCATAAATAATAACAGCATCACCACAGTGATGGAAATCTTGGCAGAAATGGCTTCCTGATTGTATAAGCAGTATTAATATGCAGACTAGACTGTATAGCTAAGAGGTTACAATTCTTTGATAACCAAAAAATTAACCAAGTTGAAAAGACCTTAGAGTTCATATAATTTATCCCTCTCTCGTTGCCTCAGATAAGGAAACTGAGTCCTAACTAGTTTAAGTAACTTGCTGAGTGCCACATTCCTAATTAGAGGCAAGGCAAGGACCAGAACTCTGGTGTCTGGATACCCAGTCTACTGCTCTTTCCATCACACCGGGCTGAAGAAAAAACCGAGGGCTTAATCTGCCTCCCCCATTAAGAATACCAACGCTTTGAGGGCAGGGACTGTTTCATTTTGATCTATGTATGTATCCCCAGCACCTAGCACAATGTCTGGTATATAGTTAGTGCTTAATAAATGCTTGCTGATTGACCTAGTTCTCAATTTTACTTGACCATTTCCATTGCCACCCCAACTCTATCCTTTTACTGTTTATCAGGTTTTGGGGGATGGGGAAGAAGGAAGATTGTGGTTGCTGTTGAGAGGCAGCATGGTATAATAATAGCAGTACTGAATTCAGATTAAGGAGGCTTGAATTTAAATGCCAGCTGTGTGGCCATGGGGGAATCCATTCATACCTCTGGATCTCAGTTTCTTCATATGCAATGTCAATCACGCTACTTATGTTAATCATCTCTCAAGGTTAAGGAAAGCTACCTATGAACCTTAAAGACCTATAGAAATATGGTTTGAAGTTATTGATGTTTTTTGTTTTTGTTTTTGAAGGAGACAAAGGCTTGGATGGTCCTAAAGGAGACCCAGGGATACCAGGCTTAGACAGGTCAGGATCCCCAGGTGAACCTGGGCCACCAGGACTGCCAGGTCAACAAGGAGATAAAGGACTAGTAGGTCCAGCAGGACATCCAGGAGCTCCAGGACACCCAGGTCTACCAGGTACTGGCCATACATTTTTCAAATTAGAAGTTTTCTTTCAGTTTATGAGGCATCTATTTTGAACTATGTGTTAGAAGGGTTGATGTTGGGGGCAGCTAGGTTGCTCAGTGGATAGAGCACCGGCCCTAAAGTCAGGAGGACCTGAGTTCAAATTCAGTCTCACACCAAACACTTAACACTTACTATCTGTGAGACCCTGGACAAGTCACTTGATCCTAATTGTCTAAAAAAAAAAGGGGGGGGTTAATGTCACTAATATGTGATAATTTACTCTTAGCTTGCATTTATTGAGGGTCTTCCTTTGGTTTCCTAAGACTATAAGCATTTTGCTGTTCTCCTCTAGAGAAAATGAAGGAATGGCAACTTGCTGTAAACTGGATCAATATCCTTTAGGAATGTTGGCACCAAGGTTAGAAAATAGGACCTTCTATTGCCCATCTATTTAACAAACAGGTTTCTTTTCCTACTTACAGAAACCTCTGCTTTGATTCTTTTTTTGTACCTCTTTTACCTAGATCTTAACTCTATTTTCATAATTTTCTTGCATCACTCTAATTTCTTTTCTCAATTTTTTCCTGTACCACTCTTGTCTCTTTAAGTCTTCCAGTAATTCTTGTTGGGCCTGTGTTCATTAGCATCTTTCTTTGAGGCTCTTCTTATCGCTCTTTTCACATTGTTGTCTTCTTCCGAGTTTGTGTGTTGGTCACCCCTGCCACATAGTAGCTTTTTATGGTCAAGTTCTTTTTTTTGTTATTTGCTTTTTTTCAGCCTATTTCTTGACTTTGAACTTTTTATTAAAGTTGGTTTCTGCTCACCTGCAGGTGAGGAGGCACTGTCCTATGCTTCAGTACTTTTTCCACTGCTGTTTTCAAAGCTAATTCTGGGGGTCTGAAAGTTTTCAGTGCTTCTAAGGTGGTGTGATCTGGGGAGAGGTATGGTTATTGTTCTGGTCTGGGCTCTGGTCTTTACCCAGAAAGCTCCCTTAATCCCCTGTAGCTGCAAGTGCTAGTGTTCCGCTTGGCCCTGGAACGGTGACCAGGTGCCCTTCAACCACAAGCATTAGTACTCCTCTCGGCTTTGGAACTGCCATCAGGGCACCTGTTCCCCTGTAACTGACCACAAGTGCTCCTTTCTACCCCAGGACTGCAACCCAGAACTGGTTATAAGCAATACAGGTGCCAATCAGTGCCAGCCACGCCCAATGCCAGCAAGGGGTTCCCTGTAATCTCTTTCTGACCAGTTGCCCAATCCCCTTACTGCCTCTGGGCTGAGAGCTCCCAAAGCTGCTGCCACCACTGTCACAGCCACCTCCACCCACAGGTGCTGCTGTGTCCACTCCAATGTCACAGAGCTTTCCTGCCTAAGTCCTAAGTTGTCTTAGGCTGGAAAAAAATGTCTCACTCTGACCTTTTGTTGGCTCTGCCACTCCAAAATTTGATTTGAGGCCTTATTTTAAAGTTGTTTGGAGGGGAATGTTGGGAGAGTTTGGCTGGGTTGCTGTCTCTAATCCACCATCTTGGCTCCACTCCAATCACTCTCCATCCTTTGACTTTTAACATCTGTTAATATTTTAGACCAAGTCTATTCAGGCTAATTTTCCCACCGTTAATTAGCGAAAGATACCTGACCCAAATCTGTGGTTTTCTTTGCTTTGAAAATCCAAAACACCTCTATGTTGCTTCAATTCCACAGGCCAAAAGGGAGAAGTTGGCATGATGGGTTATCCTGGAACAACTGGACCTCCTGGGATGCCTGGGAACCCAGGCACCCCAGGACACAAGGGTGAGTTGTATTGGAGAAGGCATACATAATATAGTGGAAAGAACATTGAACCTGAAGTCAGAAAACCTGGGTTTGATTTCTGGTTATGTTTCTTGTTAGCTATCGGCTTCTTCATCTGTAAAATGAGAATAATAATACCTGTATTACTGAACCTAGCTCAGAGAGCTGCTGTAAGGATTGAGTGAGAAAGTATATGGAAAATACCTTGTCAAATCTAAAGTACTACTGTCATTATATATGTTATCTATTTTCAGCATTTAGTAAAAATATGTTATGTTTGGATCTTTAGGGGAGACAAGTCACATGTTCATTTCAGTGGAAAAAGAGTTCTGAAAATAATGCATTTTGTGGTGCTTTTTTTCTTCTGTTTCCTATTTCTGGCTCTCCCCATCTCCCTCCATGCCATTTATCCTGTATCCTAGAAATTTTTGTGGATGCTCTTGGGAACTTTTTAGCACAGTGTACCAACTCACCTTTTCCAGTTATACACACCTCTGACAACATGGAGTTTTTTTATAATGCTGATGTATGTATGACAGTTATTTGATAAGAGCATTCAATACAGCTTTTGCTCTACTGCGTCAAATTCTTTCTTGAAGCAAAAAATAAACAAAGATGTTACATTCTTTACATCTCTGAGTCAGTTGTGTGATGCTGTCCACATGTACATATATAATTCTTATACAGATTTTTATTATGATAATAGTTCAGGTATATGGGCCAGTAGTTGCAGATAACTTTTCAGTTACTTTTTGTTTTGGGTAAAATGTCATCCATAATCTTTTCCAAGATTTTATAACAAGGTCATAATCAAGAACCAATGTTACTGCTGCTCTTTTTAGGTAGCTTTGGAATTCCAGGAAGAAAGGGGAAGAAAGGGCTTCCTGGAGCAAAGGGAGAAAGGGGAAATAAAGGAAACCAAGGACCATCAATGGTATCAGCTTATGTAGGAGAGAAAGGTGAACCAGGACCAGGAGGTAAGGAGAGTTCTTGCATCTAAAACACCCTTTATGGCTAAATGTGTGTTTCTGAGCACATTTTGTGTTTCTGTGCATTTGTAGTGTCACCAGGATAAAATTAAATTTTAAAAGGTAGGTTCTCCAAAACTCTAGTTCTTTTGGTGAGAAAATACTACACACTCAGAAAGCAGACTGTAATTAAAACCGTATCTTAATATTCCCAACAATCCTGGAGAGCACTGGGACTGTGTTCTGCTCCACGCACATGCCCAAATTTTATCCGCAACAGATACTATCTACATATTGCAATTTTAAAAAGTTATCTACAATCATTATGTACACTTAGCAATTAGCTAATATTCCTAGTAGCTTGGTATTCACGTGTATTCAATTTGGCATTTTAATGTTTTTGATTCAGTTAGCCTTAAAAGAAAAGTGAAAAAATGATTGAGACAAGATGAGAAAAAGGCCTACTCTTTCTTTCTTTGCCAAACTTAAATCAAGAAAACCAGAAAGACAAAAAGAAAACATTAACATTCTACATAAATTAAACCTACGAACAAGATGAGTTCTTTGTTCCCTATCCCTGAGCAGCCTTCTCACCCTGTGAGATCCCTCCAGTGTTGTGGCCCTTACCTTTGATTGATCTGTTCCTTTCAGACCCTGCAATTTAGGGAAAGGCCAAGGCCTGCCACAGTTACTGCTTCTGTACTTTCTCCACCTCTTTCCCACCACCCAGGTTTTTTACTTTCTTTTAAGTGTTTTCTTCTCTATCTTCACTACAAAGAATGTACGTTCCTTAAGGGAAGGGACTGTTTTTTGGGTTTTGGTTTTTTGGTTTTTTGGTATTTTTGCTCATACTTGTATTCCCAGCAGTTAGCATAGTGTAGTGTCTGGCAAATCGTAAGCACTTAATAAAGGCTTGTTGACTTGTTCACTTGATTTGAGCAGGAATAAAAGCTCATGGATATTTATGGTCTTTAAGAAGCAAAGATCTAAAAAAAAAAATTAAAAAGTAAAGATCTAACAAAATTTCTATTACTTTTTGAAAAACTGTCATCCTCTTGTTAAAACACAGGAACAAATTTAGAAAAAAGACATCCATAAAGAAGTACTTTCATTATAAAAGAAAGTTAGAGAACAGAGGTCTTTTTAGGAATCTCTCATTTTCATCTTGACCCAGAAAATTCATTATTTCCAGATTTATAAAATCCTAGGTTGTATTTCACGTTTAGCTGGAAAAGTAACTTCTTAGGAAATAATACTACCCTGTTGTCATATTTTTAAAAACTGTTAATATAACTATTTTAAGTAATGTTGCAAAATGCATTTACTGACACAAACCTAATTACAACAATTAGATCTGATATGTTTTAAATGGATTTATTCAGATATCAGCTTCCTTTTACTCTGCTTTGGCAGACAAACTCACTCCTGTTACAGATTATTTGTGTAATTTGGTTAGTATTTTATAAGCCTTTTATAAGGAAATCCCAATACCATATCCATTACTACATAAGCTATACTTTCAGCCTAACATATATATGAACTGTACATACGAGGAAATAATTTGGCATCTCACTGAATTCAATCCTTTCACAGAGCATGAGGTAAAATATATGCATATTTCTAAGAAAAATATTATACCTAGCCAGCATAGTATAGCGGGGAAAATTACTAAAACTGGAGTCAAGAGAACTGTGTTTGAATACCACCTGCTACTTTGTATCTCTGTGACAGTGAACATGCTACTTAACCTCAGTCTCAGTTTCCTTATCTATAAAATGGGAATAATACTTTTAGTATTTACACCACAGTACTGCTGTGAAGATCAAATGAGATGCTGTAGGTCTAATGAGAATAATCAGGAGTCCATCCCTCCCCCTCATCAGGTGGACCTGGGGCACTTCTGGAGCTAAATGTTTGACATGGCCCTTTCCAATGGGTGATCCTCTCAAGTAAGGACATGTTCAACCTGAGGCTTCTGGTTGATTCCCCTATGATTTTCTTCCCCTTCCCCACAACCCCCATCAGTAACTGGGGGACT